AAGACCCCCCCCCCCAAAAAAAAAACAAAAAACCCACACAGGCTTGCTTTGGCATAGACTTTCATTCTCCACTTGTTTTGTCCTTATTCAAGGATGCAGGTGCATACCCAAATGGGAATGAGGAGACACTGTGAAGTCACTCTCTTCATTTGAGGAAGCTGGGATTATCAGAGTTAGGATAAAGAATACAAAGAAAGGACATTTGAGGAAGAATTTAGAGTTGATTTAAAAAACTTGGCAGCATTCTCCAGCTAAATGATCCCTTGTCACTTGCTGCCACTACACATTTATGCTGAATCTCCAAAATGGGATGATTGTCCTAGCAGGAGCAATAGCTCTGAATGAAATTGAGAGATAGTAACATGAAAAGTTAAATGGTGATTGCAGAACACAGCTGGGATCTCTCCTTTCACAAACAATTAAGCAATTGTATTACTTGCAAGTACAGAGTGCGACTAGCAGAAGGACTATGAGATATAAATAAGAAATTTGTGAGAGCAGGAGGGAACTGCCAAAATGGAACATTAGTCTAACCATTCATATTTAATATGAACATATCAGTTAGCTTCAATGTAGTGCAAATTCTATTGACAAGGACATGCCCATTAAGGGAAGGGGTGGTACTTCCCAAACCCCTCCCATTTATGGCACAGGCCAGGGCTATGCTACAAAGCTTTAGCAACATAGCTACACCCCTGAAAACCAAGGTGCTTGTGCAGCCTGTCATTAGGTAGCATGGTTTAACTATAGTGGTACAAGTTCTACTAGTGGTCCACCGAAACCCTCAGCAAGTTTCAGGTGGTCTGCAAAAAAGTTTGAGAACCACTACTCTAGGGAAGCTTTATGATTAAGATACCCCCAAATACACAAACAGCTTTTTCAAATCATGTTTAACTGGTTTAAAAACACCACCTTTGGAAAGTGCAAGAGTCTGGCACTGGATAAGAGGCAAGAGACATTCATGCTTAAAATTGGACAGCTGTCTTCTTATAAGACAGGCAAATCTACACACCAGCTGAAGGATTACACAGACCAGTCAGGGTTTTTATAGCAGTCTGTGACAAACAAATAGCTAGACCAAAATAAAAAAGGGCAATTAGCAGGGCATGTCGGAAGTTAAATTAGAGACAGATTAAACACAAGCCGTGTTTGTTTCAGTACTCAAGGCACTGTACTGAGCAACAGTAAGATTCGAAACATAAGGATAGGTTGGGTATTTGACTATTCAAATAAAGTTCGGTCAGTTAGCTGGTCAAATACTGTAAAAAAGCCAAATAATATACAGAAAAAGCACAAATTTTCCATTAAGAAATGTGTCAAAGAACAATAAAAATTGTATTTCTGTCAAGAAAACTATAAAAATAATGTAGGGGTGGGTTTTTTTGTAAAATTGTTATGGTCTGTGATAGGTCAAAAAAATGCAGTCAACTGACAGTGGGGACACGCTCAGCCAGCTTCTTACCCATGCTCATTGAAGAATATTACAAGTCTTAATATCTCATGTTTTAACATTAGTAGAATGATTTCATTTTTAGCCTTGTGTGTCTGGATACACTTTTGAAGGCCCTTGCCTAACATCAAAAAGATCATCATCTTAGAGCTGTTCTGAAAGCTTTAATGAATACATAAGTAGTACTCTGAAATGTAATATAAATGGAGTCATTATTCATAGAAGCATACAACTTTCCTGACAACATTCCTGTTCAAAAGTATATACTTATAATACATGCTGCTCAATTTACCGAGTAATTGCTAAGAACAGAATTAATGCCTAAGGCACTTCATAAAGAAAAAAAGCTGACATTTTTCTACTGAAGCTTTCACTTCCTCCAAAAACACATAGGCATACCCAACTAGCCATCATCCATCAAAAATATGACCCAGAGCTTAAACTTTATTTTGCCATTTTGCTTTGTTTCATTCTACCAGAAAAGTTAGCAAAACAGATATCAAACACAACCCCCCCCATGAAGGGAGGTTAGCAGCATATGGCACACCTAAAAAAGGTCTTTAAAAAAAAAAAAAAAAGACTATGTACATACCACAAGACCTTGGAATTCCCAGTTTCCTTACGTCGTACACATCATAAAGGTTTATGTCAGTGTTTAGTACAATGTATCCTATGTATGTTTATCTCGGAGTGTTTGGAAAACTCAGGTTACCTTGACACAAGTTTCAAGACTAGATTTACTAAAACAAGGGTTTTTTTCTTATAGCCTGATCTTTTACAAACCACTAACAACAGGGCAGCATGCTAATAACTGCAATTTAAGTACTTCCACCTGCTTAAATCAGAAAAGACACCAATGTCAATAGTTTAAAATATTAAGAAAATGAGATACAGGGGTGATGCTAGGTCTTTATTATGAGAATACTGTTCATAGCTTTTATTGACCCCCACAAAAAAAAAAAGAGAACATGTTAACAGCAGTTGGGTTCCTGGGTTGTGTGGTAAGTCTACACGGAGTGGTGATTTTCTTTCCATCCAATTCTTAGCCAGGAGGCCAGCCCAACTGACGTCCACCAAGAACGTGGAGATGCACATGATAAACAGATTGCCCACCCTCTGGCCCTTCATTCACAACCATTCGGAATCCCTTGGTCAGGCCCAAATCGGCAGCACACTTCTTGCCAATAATCATTAAATGCCCGAGAAGCTGAAAAGATTTAAAAAGAGAGGGTAGAGTCAAATTAGCAGTCTGAAGAATAGTTCATCAGTAACCAGTATAAGAGACATCTAAATAACATATTAAAATTTACTATGAAAGATGGCATGCAAGGCTGTAAATCAGGTTTTCAAAGAGGACTTATAAACCACACAGTTTTGGCTAGCAGAAGTTGAAGATGCTCAGCAGCTCTCATGATTAAGGACACTATTTCAGCTGGTTATCACCAGTGACAGAGAAAGAGTAAAACAATTTAACTTACCTAGTACAGATGCAGGTTTAGACCGAATTTATAGACATACTAAGCCTGAAATGCTAGTAAGGCCTGAGCCTACATTTCAAAACAAAAGGCATGTATTTTTGACTGTATAGTATTTTGTATTGGTTTTGTTATTTGTACTTCAACAGTATTTCAGATGTAGCAAAGACTATCCAAAACAGACACGAAACCTAAAACCTAAAAAAGGACACTAAATCTAAAATCAAAAAGTTGGCAGTCTATCCATAAGCAAGATTAAGGGCAGGGAAGACAGTGGAAAGAGTTCCCTCCTAACAGAACAATATCCCCAGACCATTGTAGGCTTGGGACCACAGTGCCTGAAATAATGAAGCAACTTACAGCTGTCCGTAGTGTATGGGGACAGAAGGGGATAAAGAATAAAAAGACAACAAAAAAGTCATTTTGCATTTTTGTACTTTGTTTCTCTCACTACTGAAACATTTATTTATTTCTTTTTCCTCCAGACCCAAAATACAGAGAGCACAGAACAGTTTGAAAAATATTAATAGAAAAACAACCAGGGCTTGTTTGTATATGCATTTTAAAACTTCACTGTATTCCTCAGGGTACTTTAAACAACAGCCTTAGTTAATCAATATACTCGTATTCTAGAAAAAGATTCTAAGAGTTGCTAACTTCAAGACTAAAATACATTACTTCCATGAAAACCTGAACAAGTTTATGGTTAGAGATGCACTGATACATCAGTCTGATATCAGATCAGTACTAATATAAAGAAAATTGGCTGCATCAGAAATCAGCCTCATGCGGTCAATAAATGCCTGTGCATGCACACAGCTGTAATGCAGCACGCAGGCAGCAAGGAAGATCACAGCCCAACTGGTAAGTCCATTGTGATGGATGGTGAGGGGAAAGGGAAGGGACTTGGTGGGAGCAGATCAATGCCTCCTGCAGTGAGGGAAGAAAAGGGCAGGGGCAGGAGCTGCCCAGCCAGGGCGAAGCAGGGTGCAGGACAGAGCCACAGCTCCTAGAATGGGGGGGGAGGAGGGGCTCCTGCTGCTGCATACACCCCGGGAGCCCATGTGGGGGGGGAAATGCATACCCCCAAGATCTGCATGAGATGGGCTGCAGCTGGGGTTGCATCAGGCTCTTCTCAGCAGGGGCTGGGCTCGGGGAGGGGGTTATGAAGGGGGCTCCAGCCACCCCAAATTTCACCGTATCCCCCCCATGTAGCCCCGCTCCCAGTGCTGCCGCCGCATACCTGCAGCCCTGGCTGCAGCCCCCTCTGTAACCTCTGCCAAGAAGAGTTCAGAGCAGCCCCGGCTCCATCCCACAGCTGCCCTGTGCAGATCTGGGGGATATATAGTGCTCCCCAGGGTGTGTACAGTGGCAGGAGCTGCCCCCACCTGCCATGAGCTGCAGCTCCATCCTGCACCCCATTCTACCCCACCCCAGCTAGGCAGCACCTGCCCCTTCCCTCCCCATCCAGCACAACACTTACCGGCTGCACACAGCTGTATTGGAAGTCAGATTGGTATTGGCCAATTTGCCTCTTTAAAAATTGGCTATTTATATTGGCCCCAAAATCTGTCGGTGCACCCCTATTTATGGTCTGTGTTTCAAAAAGATGGTAATTCTCAAATAAAAAGGCAAGTCCCTTCTTTCACACTTCAAAATTCTGTTTACTTCTTACTATTATGGCCACAAACAGATGATAATTTTTACTGGTGGAAATTTCTGAGGGAAGGGGAGCAGTGAAGCAAAGCCCCCAGCCCCTTCCTCAAGCAAGGAAGTGTCTGGTTTGGGAAAAAAGACAGGGAACAACAAAGCAAATAACAATGAGGATGATAGCCTGTGGAGCA